GGAGGAGGAGGGAAGAGAAAGAAAGAGAAAAAAGAGAGAAAGAAGAGAGATCACCACCACTGCCCCCTCCCCCCCCCCGTTTCCTTTTCTTTGTCTCTCACTACTCCCTCACTAGTTGGTTAGTTAGTTGGTTGGTTCGAAAGAAAGAAAGAAAGGAAGGAAGTTCCACTTGGTGTGTTTTTCCCCACTAGACAGTTAGTTTGTGGGTTGGTAATTGGTTATTTTGGTGTGTTATGTATAATTAGTAATGTGCTGTGCAGTGCCCATATCTTTCTTTCTTTCTTCTTACTTTTTCTTTTTTCTTTTTCTTTCCCCTGGGTCCCTTCTGTTCAGTTCCCCCCTCCCCTTCCCTCCCTTTTGATATATGACTCCCAAGCTTTGGGGGGGGTACCCATCATTCATCCTCTCTAGAGGGAGGACACACACCCTGTTTATTGCCATTTCTTTCTTTCTTTCTTTCTTTCTTTCTACAACTCTCCCTCTCCTCCGTCCTTTCCTCATAGTTTACAAGAAGAATGAATGAAATTCCCCCTCTGCCATCTTGACTCCCATGACCCCCTCCCTCATCTTTTTCTCCTTTCTCTCACTTTAAGTTCTCAGTTTTGTGTTCATAAAAAAGAAGTAAAAAATGTTTTAATCTGCCATTCAGATTATGTTGAATAATAATATACATTGTTGGCCTCTCTCAAAATTTAAAAACAGTTGTTCATACTAAGTTGATGTTGTTGGACTATGTGTAGATTTGAGCTAATGGGAAATCATTCCATGATAAAATGTTGTGTAAGTATAAATCTTGTAAACTTTATTATAATTCTATTTTGGTTGAATCAATACAAATACATACAATTTAAATATATATATATATATATATATATATATACACACATTAGCATAGAGCCCTAAATGTAATTGGAGAGATGGAAATTAATTGTTGTATAAAGTCTGATTTTTTAAATAATATTACAACAACAAAACTAAAATTAAAGAATATTAAGTATGGTTCTCTTAAAAATAAAATAAAAAACTATCCTAGGATATGAATAACTACTTTCTAAAATTAAGAACCATAACATAAAAAAAATTGTAAATTAGAAAAACAAATTTTGCAAAATTTTTATTTATTTTACAAAATTTGTTGAGGATAAGGAGTAGTATTTCAAAGTAAATAAGCTTATAGATAAAAATAGGTTTAGATTTGTGATTTTAAAAATAATTTTTTAAAATAAATAAATTAATTAATGTTAGATATTTATTCTATTTTATTTATCTTTTGATTGTTTTTTTCAAAACCAATCATCAATGTGAAATTTTATTGTGTTAGTTATCACTGAGTTTTTCATAAAGTAAAATAACTATAAATATTTTAAAGGATATACTATTATTCAAATCTATACAAGTCTTTAAAGTATTAATTTTGTAATTATTTAAAATAAATATACATAATTTTTTTAAATATTATTTTTAATAATTACATCAACATTAATATAATTCAAATTTAAATATAATAATTATTTTTTAATATTGGCTCTTATTTATTTTATAGATTAATATATTATTTAATTATATATATATATATATATTTCCCTCAAATATGTTAACATATTAAGAATATTCATATACTTTTAATAATAGAAAATATAACCTTTATTTTTGTGATAATAGAAAATATACCTTTGAATGTGAAAAAGTATCATGAACATACATATTTACTTTAATAGTTATCTAAATATTATGAATAGATAAAAGTAAACTAATTTGATAATATATTATAGAAAAGCTTCCTAAAAGCTTTATAGATGGAGTTTCATCTTTATATGTATCTATAGGTAATTAATAGGTTAGAAACTTGGCCAACAAATTAGTCATGTATTGTTGTTACAGATATATATCTATTATAATTATTACATAGATAATATGAATAGGTAGAAGTAGGTAAAAGTAGATTAATTTCATAATATCTTCAAGGGAAGCTTTTTAGAAGCTTTCTAAACGTTGTTCTGATTTTACATGTATTTATAGTTGATTGGTAGGTTAGAAACTTGGACAACAAGCTAACTACATGCCAAATATATGTTGTTAGCTTGTGGAACAAGCTAACTATATGGCACTTATACAGAAAACTTGCCTTACAAGTTAAGATACATGTCATGCAAAGTCAACATATTTTTAGAGGTCTTGTAGAACATTACCATATAAATCCTAGGTAGATAGTATATATAGAAGTAAAAATGAAGTCTTCTTCACTTTTGTCAAGTCTTTTCTTGATTCTAGTCTAGTTTCAAGAGTCTTTAGTTTCCTTGTCTTTTGGCAATAGCCATTTCAATTTCTTTTTTAATATACATACTTTTTTATTTCTATTTTGTTATATTTCTTTGAAAGAGTCTCACTTATTTAATTGCTTTCATCAAGTTCTTGTCCTTGACAGTTGCATGTATTGATAGCTTGTGATACAAGCTAATAATGTGGTGCAAATATATAAAACTTGCCTTGTAAGTTAAGACATGTGTCTTGCAAAATATGCATGTATCGGAGGTCCTATAGAACATTGCTATGTAGCTTCTAGTTAGATAATATATATAGATTTAAGAGTGAAGCCTTCTTCACTCTTATCTATGCCTTTCTAGTCCTTAGTCTTGTTTCAAGACTTTTTAATCTTTTCGTCTTTGACAATAGCTATTCCAATTTCAATACTATATTAATTTTGAGTGAATATTTTTTCTTTTTAAGTTACACAAGAGTGTATTGATTTTCTGGTTCTTAGAGATTTATGTCCTTGAGATTTTGATTACAGTGCTAATTTATTGTTCTTATCTTGTTTTTAGAAATAAGTAAACCATCTCACTTCTATTCTTGTATTTTGAAGGTTGCAGACTATCCACCTTCAATTTGACATTTTTTCTTTAAAGAGAGTGGACTACCCTTCTTTATGAAAATTTTCATTTCATATTAGAAATTTTAGATTATCTTACTTTAATATGACTTATAGATTTATTTGAATTATCTATATAAGAAAAAATTATGGGTGCTATTCTTAACAAAAGTGAGATTAGATTTACAATGAAGAAATCTTGCTACTACTGTCATCGACATACACATGTAAGCCAGTAATTACATGTATAAATAGATAGAAGTAAGTAAAAGTAAGTTAATTCTATAGTATTTGATATCAAAGCTTCCTAGAAGCTTCATAGATGCTGCTTTGACTTTTGAAGTGTCTTTAATTGACTTTTTGGGATTAGGAATATGGTCAACAAGTTGGCCATGTACCACACATGTTGTTAGCTTGAAGTCCAAGTTAACTATGTGGCCTACAAGTAAAAAACCTTGCCTTGTAAGTCAAGGCATGTGTCCTACAAAGTCAACACATATTGGAGGTCTTATAGAACGTCGCCATGTAGCCCCTAATAAGATAGTATATATAGAGACAAGAGTGAAGCCTTCTTCATTCTTGTCAACTCTTTTCTTACTTCTAGTCTAATTTCAAGGGTCTCTAGTTTTCTTGGCTTTTAGCAATAGCCATTCCAGTTTCTTTTTTAATATACATATCAAGTTATATCTATTTTGTCATCTTTCTTTGAAAGAAGTCTCACTTGTTTATTTGTCTTTATCATGTTCTTGTTCTTGACAACTTGACAAGAGTACACTTACAATATCAAAGCTTTGTCTAATCTTAATTAAGAGTGGATTACTCCTTTTTCTTGATAAGACATAAGCATATTAGAAGTTGTGGATTACCTTCTTCTAAATTGATATTGTCCTTAGTATTTTCTTTGTTCTCAAGTCCTTTCTTCTACTTGTCTTGAGCGATATTAGACATCTTCTTTTTTCTAAGTGTTATCATGGTAGAACTTGCTCAAATGAAGAGTGTAATGGCACAAATTCAAGAGCAATTGAAGGAGTTAATGCTTGCGATGCATCAACTCAATTTACTATCACAAAGAGCAACAAGATTGGCAAGAAGTGAAGATATAGAAATGATTGAAGCTGCTTCAACATCTGCACCAAATCATGTCCCTTCTTCTATGGTAGAATGCCCTTCTAGTGTTAGAGAATTAAGAATTATCCTATATGAGAAGTTTGATGGCAACAGATCAAAGTTTAGAGGATTTATCATTCAAGTACAACTTGTAATTGAACTTCAACCCCAAAGCTATCCAACTCCAGGATCGCGAGTTTGATTCATTGGTATGCTTCTTTCAGATTCAGCATTATCATGGTTTTCATCTTTTCTTGAACGATGAGATCATTATTGGATAATCTAGAGGCTTTTTTGGTAGAGTTTTGATCCATGTATGGAAAACATGATACAATTCGTATTACAACCAACAAGATCCATATCTTATGATAAGACAATCGATCAATAATATTGTATGCTTTATAGTTTTAACAACTTGCAACTGATATCAAATAGGATGATGCTATACTTGTTAGCCAATTTCTCTATGAATTATAATACGAGGTAAAAAAATTAATACTCAACTTACTTGATCTTCAAACATTGAGTCAAGCAATTGACTTTGCTGTGAAGTGCCATAATCATCTTTTTGAATTCC